ACTACCTCTACCCGAAACTGAAGCGGATGAACCATCCGCTAGGGTAACTGTAGTACCAGGCGGAAAGGAAGAATATTCAGAAAAGACGTTTAGATTACCTAACATATGATCACTGGCTCCAGAATCAATAACCCACTGTCGGGATGAGGACGAGACACAAGCAGTAGGATTACCTGTTTGGACGAACGTGGCTGAGGAGGACGGTAATGTTTCCTGACTGTTTAGAGGCTGTGAGGCGGACACTTTCAACTGTTTAAACATAGCCAACTCTTCATCTGTCATTACAACCACATTACCCTCTGGTTTAGAGACATAATTGGCAAAGCTTTGTGGTCGGAGAGGTTTTGGACATTGGTTGCGTAGATGACCGGGCTCTTCACAATTATAACAAACCCTTGGATCCCCTCGACCTCGTCCTCTACCAAAGCCACCACGTCCTGGGAATCGATCCCCGCGATTACCAGAACCTACACCTCCATTATCCCCTTGCGCTACTAAAACACTCTTCTCCGAGACTCCACTACCTGTACTCGAGGCATTCTGGACCATAGTGAAAACTTGGTCTATTGATTCTAACTCTTTATGCCCTAACAATTGAGACTTCACAACATCATATTCTTTATCTAACCCTGAAATCCAACTAAACACATGCAACTGATCACGTTGCAGTTTTACCGTCTCCAAATCCGTGACTGGCATAGCAGTACACAACGCCTCACTCACACTTTTAAAATCATAAAAATAATCTCGGATGTCTCGTCCATTTTGGGAGGGACGATGAACATCTTGAGACAATTGATACAATTTTCTCAGGTTGTTTGTCCCACTAAACCATTTATTCACCAATTCCCAAACCTCCTTGATAGTTTTACAGTGTTGCATAGACAGAACGATTTTCCTATCAATACAATTTATTATGCGGGATAATAAAGCTTTATCATCCCGGTTCCACTCTTGAGCCTCAGTTTGCTCTGTTGGACATGTCCCAGTCAAGTGTTTATCTTTACCCATACCCCCAAAATTAATTTCAACCAAAAATCTCCACTCTCCAAAATTAGACCCATCTGATGCAAGCACTACATCAACTAATTTGGTTGGGGTAGATATAATATTACACGTAATATTTCTTGCGTCCGCCATAAAGAAAAATAAAAGAACCTGGGAAAGCCAACCGTCCGTACTCTGACACAAGCTTGAAGAACACTCCAACCACCCTTCAACAACACACCTCACGCACTGCACAGTCGGACTGGGCTCCTCACTGCGACCACGCCGGTGTAATTGGCGTCGGAAAAAATCGCTGGAAAATTCCTCACGCGCCGGCGCGTGGATCGGCGATCAACTGTGGCGGTGGCGCGTGGCGGCGCATGGCAGCTCCGGTGGCGTCGCGATTTCACGGCGAAGAGTCGCCGTCATCCTCCGGTCGCAACCCACCCCTCACATCTCTGATACCATGTGATTAAAGGAATATACGAAAGTGTATTCTCTCTATTTCAGTGTCACTGTACAGAAGATGAAAAAGCCTATATATACAAGCTAAGGAAAGGCTAAAGCCATTAGTTTCAAAATTCAAACCCCAAGGTAGAGAGTGATTCTCTCAACCACAACCCAACTTCTCTAACAGAGTAAATATATTTTTCACAAGGCAAGGTTCAAAGGGTAACACATATATACCTATGCTATGCAGGGATCGACAGTTGAGCACATTCGTGTCATTTTTTCACGTCTCGAAAAATTAATTTTCGTTCATGTGGGAGATTGTTGAAATTTGTAGCATAAAATGACATAGAAAGTGGCTATTTTGTGGTAAAAATATATGTGGGGTCCACTTTCAATTTGGGTTGGGTCAAAGTAGATTTGGGTTCTTCGTAGTAAGATGAAGAGATTGATATATTGTACACCCAAAACGGATAATGGGTGAATGAGAAATTGATTTTCAAAATTGATTTTCAAAGTAACCTATTTGAGTTGGAAAATGAAGGTGGAAAGACTTTGTAAAAGTTCGTCCCATATTGGTTTGGGAAGTGGATTTGCATCACTATATATACAAAAGCATTTTAGAGGTATATATGTTGAATTGTATATTATTGAAGCTCTGATCTCTTTTGTGCGTAGGGGGTGCAAATCAAATCGCTAAGTTATGCCAAATTTTCGTATATTTTTTTCCAACTCAGAGCCACTTTCCGAGAGGTGAGAGGTAAAACTTTGTTTACCATTCGGACCATTAACTACTTAGTGGTGTTGACTATTCGGGATTTGATAATCCATGAAATGACCCATAATTGTGCTTTATTTGTGCTTAATTTTTGTTTGAATAATGCTAGGTAATTGTGGTGGAATGAGGTTTTGTTGATGTGTTTGTGGTTGTAGAAAGGAAAGATTGGACCTGCTAGGCATGCATGAGCTAGAAGAGAGGACAATTCGAGAAGATATCAAGGCAAAATAGTCCAAAACGAAGGGTCAAAAGTATCGCACGGAACAACGGAGCAAAGACGGCGTCCAAAGTACATTCGGGAGGGTGTCACCATGGAGTTCACGACACGCTTGCCAGCTTTCAGATGTTAAGGCGCCATGCGGATGGTCACGCCGTGACCACCAACGTGACTTGCTAGCCACATCGTAGGTCCTAGGTGTCACACTGATGGTCACGCCATGACCACCAACGTGACGCCCTGGGACCTGAGAGTTGCTCCGGAGGGTCATGATGACCTTCACAATTTTAATTTATTTTTTAAAGAATTAACGGTCATAACAGATGTGTTAAGCTCCATATTAAAGTTGTTGTAACGGGGGGGGGGGGGGGGGGGGGGGGGGAGACTTACATATATAAATTTATTTTAGATGTTAATGGCATTATTAGTGCTATTAACTCCTCATTTTCCTATAAATACTTGGTGTAGGGTAGAATTGTTTTAGCTGTTGGATTTTGAACTCTCAAAATCTCTGTTTTCTCTCTTCCTCTCTCAACTATTTTCTTACAAAGAAAATTCTGCCAAACACTTCTGTAATCTATACGGAGTGCTTGCCTGTTGTTCTAGTTCGTCGGACCTTTTGTTTAGGTGCTCAAACTTAAGGTCGTGAACCATTTTATTCTGAGAGACTGACGCTACAATGCTCTCAGGAAATAGTGAATTAGTTTTAAGAAAGTGTAATGTGTGTTACACATAACTTGGATATTTCCTTCTTTTGTTGGGTTTAAACTACAGATTTGAAAACCTTCTTTCGTCTTTATATATATTTTTATTTTTATTTTATATATATAAATATTTCTTGGTTTCAAATTCCTTATTATTTTGGTTTCGTACTAAAGTTTTTGTTGAAATTAATTTTCTAAATTAAATTTTGTATTGGAATTAATTTTCTAAATTAAATTTTGTGTATCGACTTATTTATCACCAACAATTATGGTATATTATATTCTTTGACAATTCTTTAATCTCTTGGAAGTCTTAGTAGTGGCCTACTGCCTCTAAGTCCTCATTTGAAGCTGAACGTAACACAGGGCTTTGGTGGTGGTTGTGTGTGAAATCCTGTGGATATGGTTCATGCTAAGTGACTTTGGATTGGCTCCATCCAAACCTGGCCTGCAACGCTTCTTAGCTTTGTGATAACAAATCCACAATAGCTATTGCGTAGGTGTATAGGCCATGTTTGGTAAAATGGTTGTTAGCTGATAGCTGTTAGCTGATTGTGTTAATGAGAGGATATAAATAGTTGATAACATTAGCTGATTGTAGAAAAGTGTTTGGTAAATTAGCTGTTAGCTGATAGCTGTTTGGTATAATTTTTTTTTCTCAAAAAGCTAATTGAAAAAGTTGCTTGGAGTAGCTTTTTAAATTTTAGCATTTTGGAGTTGCAAAAAGCTAATTAATCAAACATTTATATTAATATTTTAACTAAATCAAACAATTAATAGTGGTCAAATAAGTCAAAATTGGCCTATAGGCAAACTTTTTACCAAACAGGGCCATAGTAAGTTTGCTAGCTAAGTACATAATTTTGTAGTTTATTTTTTATTTTGTTATTTTATTGTATTGTGATGTGATATTGGGCCCTACTTTTAAAAATAGATTTAGGCTGTATTTGGTAAATGACTGTTAGCTGATAGTTGTTAGTTGTTAATTGATTGTGCTAATTAGAGGGTATAACTAGTTGATACCATTAGCCGTTGTAGAAAAGTGTTTGGTAAATTAGCTCTTAGCTGATGGCTGTTTGATATTATTTTTTTCTCAAAAAACTAATTAAAAAAGTTGCTTGGAGTAACTTTGTGAATTTTAGCATTTTGAAGTTGTAAAAAGCTAATTAACCAAGCATTGATATTTTAACTAAATCAAACAATTAATAGTGGTCAAATAAGTCAAAATTGACCTATAGGCCAATGTTTTACCAAAAGGGCCTTAATTTACCGGGATGTAGTCTAAATAGTATATGAATTGTAACCCATTCTTAAAAATGAGAGAGATTTACAGGGATAAGGATACTTAAAAGTCCAAGCTAGCTATAAAGTTCATGCTACAACTGTTACCAGCTCAGCCTGTTTGTTAATGGCGGTTAAGTTGGTATGACGAGTTTGTTGGAGTGCTTTACTGCAATTCTAATTAGCTATACGAGCAACTGACAAATAACTAACAAGGAATCAACCAAGGTATCATTACACACACACAAGAACAAAAAAAAAAGTGTAACTCAATTCGGATATAGAGATCTTGAGATTAATTTTCAACATTTTCTTTTGTACATAAGAAAAATTCAAGAATACAAGATGTCACTAGCTCTACGTACAGAATTCATAAAGGAAAGCTCTTAATTTTTCTCAGTTTTTTTCTTCGTGACTTCATTGACGTGTCTATTGATGATGAGTTGACAAAGCAAATTAAAGTTTGAATGGTAAGTAACAATATCAAATCAAGACAAACAAATTTGAAAATTTACGTATAATAATGTAATTGAATCATATATCTTCTTCTTCTTCTTCTCCTTCCTCAATTCAATATCAGATGTCATTGTGTGAATACATTGAGCAAAGAAACCTTAGCATTCATCAAACTTCTAAACACTTTCTCACCGCCACTTTCAATCCCACCAATGCAATCCTCCATTTCATGCATTTTCTTGGCCACCATTTTCACATCTTCTTCCTCTCCTTTTCTTCTCACTCCCCAAAGCGCCGCCATTTCTTTAAACTCTTCAATCCCCTCCTCCATGTTCGCTTTCTTCGCCGGCCCCACCATCCACCGCCGGGACGACGATTTCGTGAACGATACCGAAAGGCCGTTGAACAGAGCCGTGGAGACCAGCACGGTGACCTTCACGGCGTCCTTCATGACCCCGACCACCTCGGCGTCGCCGTCCGGCACCGCCACCACTTGTTTGGGGAGTACGAGGTATTTTCCGGCGGTGGACTGCAAGCTCGGTATCAGCTTCTTCTCCATTTCCTTGCCCAGATTCTTGATGGCCTTGGAGTAAGAAGCGAGTTTGGCGGCGGCGTCTTTCCGCCGCACGGCCACCTGGGCTGCTTGGTGCTCCTCCTTCAAGCGGAGGATCATGGTCTGGAAGATTCCGTAGACGTCGACGAAGCGGAGGAAGTCTTCTAGAAGATTCTCGACGAGGCCGGCGTGGCCGTGGAGGGATTCTCGCGTCTGGGGGAGCTGGAGGAGATCGTCCAGGGACTCGTGGATGGTTTTCAGGCGAGCCAAGCTGTCGCAGAGCCATGCGGAGGTCCGGTTTTCCGGCGAGGAGGAGAAGGCGGCCATGAGCGCGTTGAGGTCGTCCCTGAGCTGGGAAATCAAAGGGTGGGATCTGCAGGGAAGACTGGTGGATCTGACATGGAAGGTTTTCTTGGGCTTTGAAGATGAATTGGGGTGGTTTGGGAAGGAAAGAGATCTCCGGAATCCGGCGACCATTTTAGGAGTCATTGGTTAATCCGGTGGGTATAGCTTCACGGAGAGACGTTAATGGAGTTATATAAAGGGTGGGTGAGAGAACATGCAACGCGTAGAGAAAATGGTCCATTATATGGTCAGATGTTAGCGCGTTATTAATTAGTATCTACCAAACAAACCTTAATAATTTATGATTGATACTGTATGTGACTAATGTGAGTCTAGTTTGAAACCAGGTGTAAACCTGGAAGTGTTCCAGGTCTGAGAGACATGGGAGTTGGTCCAAGAAAAATTGTCACTTGTAGAAATTAAATCTGGGTTATCTTTAAAATTGTCCTTACAAAGAAGCTTCTTTATCACTTGAGCTATCCTTTTAGGTTGTCACACAAAGTTATTAAGAGGTAAATTTAGGAGGATATAACCTTACTCTTTAGCAGGACTCCTAGTCGATACGTGGATTCATGAGATGTTTAGGGCAGAGGTGAAGTTTGAGAAGAATGAGATAAGATGTTAGGGCATTCTTATATTAGCTTGAGGGTGATCTCTCCACCCTGAGTCAGAGTGAGAACGTATGAGCTCTTGGACAACATTGACGAGTGGTTTGACGAGGAGTCATATCTTATGGGACAAAATAGTGGCCAAATTAGTATGATAAAGGGGTCTCATAGTCAAAGATCCGGCCACGAAATCTTCTTTTCTTGTCATTTTTGTTAACTTGTACTGACGAGTTTATTCTTACTTATCATTTTGAAGATTTCGTTATATATATCTTATATCTCCCTCATTATTTTTCTATTTTATGAATCTACCCCATGGTAGGGTGCAGGTAAAATTATTAACCATCAAATCATATTTAAACTTAAAACTAAAAGATCCCTTCACAAAATGTGGAGCCAATAAGATAACTATTGTTTAGATATTTACAAATTTTAATAATTTTTCTTGTAATGTACCAACTCCCATCTTTTCCCGGGTTCCATCCTTATTTCCTTCAAATTTGAAAGGAAGTGCACGAGAGATATATGGTACGTGGGGGAGAATAAATCCCAGCTGGCAGGCCAAGCAAAATCCCGTTGTATATGGAGAAAAATAGAGAGGCCGCATGTGGGAGGTGTGGTAATAGGCAGACGTTGAAGTGTAGATGTTGGGGTGGAAAGGGGACATCACGTGTATGCGACAACCTGGCCTCATCAACAATGTTTGTACGCACATAAAGACTAAGTTTTGATCCATAGATTAACAGAGCAACTTACGATTTACTTTCGCAATGGTTCTAAAGACAAAGTCTTATAAGGTAGTTCGGTCAAGCTGGGATCACCTAAGTTAAAAAAAAAATGTCAATTCGATGAGTAGTCTAGTGACATGAAGTGTCTCTCTCAAATTAGAGATCATGAGTTTAAACTCCAGTATAATAATATTGACTCTTTATGCTTTAATAGGTTAAGAAAGTAGTTATGAACAGATACAGAGTCAGAAATATTAAAAAATAAGTATAAAAAAAAATGTTAGCACCTTCCTTGTTATAGTTAGCTGCTAGCCGTCTTCCTCTTTTTATCTCTCCTTGCTGCCGCCTGCATATATGCTAGTATGCTACCCCAACTTGGGGAAACAAAAATACACTCATTCATCAATGTTATCCTCCTTACACCATTTATTTATTATTTTCTTTATAAAACTATAGTATTCCTTCTCTAAAATGAATATGACCTAAATTTCCATTATTGAGTAATGAGTAGGAAAAGAGATGTATATATATTTATATAGAATATAAATGTATATTTCAGATAGCGTAGATTACATCAGGATTAAAGATATGCTATAAAAGTAAGTGATGAAAAGATGTAGGTATCATTACAAAGAAAAATGTATATAGACAGTAGTTAAAAAATCATTGTTTTTGAGGTAAAATTTATGTTGTTGAAACCAGTGTTATTATAAGTCCGGCGCAAAGATAACGGTTAAAAATCGTTGTCTTTCAAGTGTTGTTGAAACCAGTGTTATTGCCAAAAACTACTGTTTTTGTACATTTTTCTTGTAGTGTGTATTTCTAAGTGAAGGGGCGAGTTGATTGCTATGATAAAGATTAGAGTTGTTCAAGCTGAGCGGCTGATGAGTACATGCTTGATGAATACAGGTAAACTAGTGACTGGAAGATGATCCTTTGGACGTGGACCAACTAGGTCATTTATCTACTATACTAATAAGAACCCAAGAGAGTTAGGTCTATAATGATTAGAAAAATGGCGGTTAATTTTTTTTAATTAAATGAATGGCTCGGATTAATCAGATTTTAATTTTTCTTTAAGAGTTCCTAATTTATCCTTAATCAATATGATTATCCGTTAACTTTTCCGTTAAATATTATCTTTTCTGTTAATTTCTGTTAGTTCACCGTTAACTTACACATTGATTTCATTAAGAAAGGTGTTTGGTTCGAACCCATCTCAATCAAAGTTGGCATAATTAGTACTCTATTTTACTCTTATTAAATTAAATAATAATTTAGTAGTTACAACAAAAAATAATACATATGCATTTCTTTAATTTAGAATTATGTGTCTACAATGTCTTTATTAAAAAAAAAATATTCATTATCAATAAATTAAATAAGAGAAATAATTTCATTAGTTATATTGTATTAATTTTTCTACAATATAGAAATTCTTTACATTCAAATTCATCAATTGATTATATTCGCTACATTGTCCCTACAATGTCTTTATTTAAAAAAAATTATTCATTATCAATAAATTAATTAAGAGAAATAATTTTATTAGTTATATTGTCTTTATATTTCTCCAATGTAAAAATTCTTTACATTCAAATTCATCAATGGATTATATTCAGTACATTGTCTATTATCTTTTTTGTGCACTATTTTTTTAATTAAATATCAAATTTATAATACAAAATAATGCTATATATTTATTTACCAAGTATTTTATTAATACCATGAAAAAATTTAAATTAATAAAGTCAATCATATTAACTACTTAGAGATTTGTGGACAAAGAGAGTATTCAAATCATACAACAAATTGAAGTGAGAAACTACATCGCAATGTCCTTGTTTGACAATCAACAGTTAGCGATTAGCGTTAGCGGATTTGACCAGCGAATTATATCAACAGTTGGTAAAAAGATATTTGAAAAAATTAGCTGTTTAAATTAACATGTAAAATGACCTAAGGGACCAAACACATTGTGCTCAAATGACATGTAGTGGCCTCTCCTATGTATAAGGTCATGAGATCGAGCCTTAGTAGATGTGTTGTTGAATCTGTGTGCTTCATTAGGTTGAGAATGTATGTTTGAATAGATACTATAATGTAATAGAGTAAGTAGCATTCAAAAAAAGTAAAATGACCTAAGGGTATACATATATTTAATAATAATAATAGTTTTAAACAAATAAAAAATAAAAAAAATCTAATTAAGTCAATCATATTAACTACTTGGGAGATTTATTGACAAAAAGAGTATTCAAATCACACAACAAATTGAAGTGGAAAACTATCTCGCAATGTCTTTGTTTAGCAATCAGCTGTTAGCTCTTCAATATCAATATATATTTAATATTTTTATGCCCTAATTTTTATTTGCTCTCCCTTATGTCCTGTATTTGGTTTCAACCATACCTATACAATTATTTTATTGACAATTATAATCAATCTTGACTATATTATCTTGCATTTGTAAACTTAGAATTGGCTATTTAAATACGCAAATTTAACATTAAAAATTATCTGTGCATGAACAATTCCAATATAATCTTGCCTTGATATACTTTAAAGTACTTTTTTATCTTGGATTTGTAAACTTAGAATTGGACATTATCCCAATCGCGCAATGCGCGTAAAAAACTAGTATTACAATATAAGTTGATTAAGGGCCATAATGACCAATTGTTATACAATGGACCAGGGTTCATATTGCATTGTGAATCTTGATACAAAAATTATGTACCTTCAGTTAACATATTTTTTGTACCTAAATTAACCGTTTCTATACATGTAAACAAATAACTTAATAATTGTTGACACATAATATGATAACTACATGTACAAAAACTATCAACTACAAGTACAAATATATCAACTATAGATCAGATACAGAATCTGATTTTATAATTGTGACACATAATATGATAGCTACAAATACAGAAACTATCAACTGCAGGTACAGAATATGTCAACTATAGATATAGAATCTGAAGGTTATTTTTGGATCAGAGTTTACAATGCAAGGTAAACCATGGTGTATGGTATAATTTGTCCATAATGACGGGTACCAAGAGGGTCCACGTGACTATCCTTGATTGGAAGAGAACAGTAGTTAAACTTTTAGGCAACTCTCAAGTCACATAAATCAGTCCGTCTATTCGACACCAACCTCTAGTACTAAGGGGGGCTAAGGGCCTCAAGTTGCACAAGCCTCTTTTATTGTCCCTTAGCAATTGGTTAAGTTAGTTGGACTTTAGTTAAGTTATTAGATCAATTGAGCTGTCTTATAACTCCATCATATTCAGCTATAGTTTAGTCTTTATGTTAATGACATGAAACACATCATTCAAATTATATGTGTCTATGTGTTGTTTAACTTATTATAAAAAATAATTGGTACACATATGTTTTTGTTTATTTTTTGAAAGTATATGTTTTTGCTTATTTCTTTAGAAATAATAAATAAAATATGTAACAAAAAAAAGGGCTTGTTTTCTAATGTTTTTAAATTGAATTATTATCCATATAATTTTTTTTTAAGTTCAAAGTACGGTGCCATGACATTATATTGCTTTAAAAAAAAGCATTTATGAACGTACCTACCGAAATTAACATGAATGCTTTATTGAATATAGTATATTGATAAGCAAAAATATAATGCACTAATTTTATAGTATAACAATAATTATAAATAATTATTTATCACCTCACAATAATGTTTAGTTTGTCAGTCTATGCTTTTAATTTATGGGTTGGGCTAAACAATATCAGCATCTGTACAACCTGTAATCCCAAGATCAATTCGATTCTA